AAGATTTATTAGGTTTTGGAATATTCTTATTAGTTGAGCATAATATCTGATAGAATGAGGGAGTTAAATGATTATATTTATTATTACATTTCTACCATTTTGAAGATTAAAAAGTTGTGCTGCCCTTACATCTTTACATCTTTAACGTGTTCTTGGAAGTAACGTCAGACGATCATACCTTAATTAATGTTTATTGGCTAAGAGCTTCCAACCGCGACTTCGTACGCGAAATCCCGTTTTGTCCCATTCCCGTAGAATTTTCGGGGAATTCTTGTTTAAATAATCCTATGTCCGTCTCCTGATCCTAAGCTCCGCTTCACCAATTTTCACCCAAATTGATTTAGTCTTTCTTGAGTTATAAATGTGTAAGTCACGCGACTTTATTTTATATATAGGTATATAGATTTACTGCCTCATTGGCCAGGGTCGCAAGTGCGGCAAGGGGTCTCGAGTTCGATTCCCGGGTCGGACATATATTACTGGGTTTTTAAAAATACTCAGTAGTAGCACGGAGTCTGCAATTGTGTCCAGTATATGGCAATAGGCTCACCCCCTATTACATGGGACTCATAACATATAAATAGTCGAAAGTGGGTGTTACATTTAACAGTGTAATTAGTTGCCGCAATGTGCATTTCTGCCTACCCCTTCGGGGATAAAAGGCGTGATGTTATGTTATGTTATGTATATAGATTTAGAGAAGTGAAGAAAAGGGGCTATCAATAAATTATATTTCAGATAGCAAGCTTAATAAAAGACGTCCATGTCATGTACTACCCATCATCGTTCAACTTCGCGTCAGCTGGGAGTAATCCACCAGTGAGGCTTCCTACGATGAAGATGCCTGCGCTATTAAAAACAACAGACATATTGGCTCCGAAAGGTGCTCCTTTATACTTCCAACTAGATGGACCAGAAGTCAATAAGTTGAGAATGTCTTTGAGCTCAATCCATCCCAGGGTCTTAGCCAATACTGGATCTCGTATCCCTGATTACATAGAAAAATCCAACTTTGTCCTAGAAAAGTTTGAATGGTTCAAAGATGTTGAATTACCTGTTCCTACCGGCTTTGTGACTACCAGAAGATACCAGTCACTTGAGATAGATTTTCCTCCGGGAAGACACTTTTTTAGGTAATACAAATCCATTAAGCACTAGAATTAAAATAAGTGGTAATCTACTAAAATAGCACTGAATATGTTGATGTTACCCTTAACCTATTTGTAAAAAACAATAACGTCCCCGAGACCCTAACAATCCTCAAATTCGTGATCCCCAAAAAGCCAGTAACAAACTAGTAACGTCTCTTGTCTCCTTTAGAGCGCCGATTACTTACCTGCAAGGTGATATACCTGTTCGTTTACCGGTTTATCCCATAAAAAAGTAATGACTTAATTATTTATATGTGACTTTTTTGACAGAATCTGGGTACATGCTCGAGTACATTGGAGTATTAAGGTGATCAGTGACTCGTCGTTACTTCTTGGCGCGAAAGATGTCATCCAAGGCGCTGCTGTCCGCGAATGTCCATGGGCTTCAAAGTTCCTCCTGAACTTGGGATCATCTTTTACAACCTGGATCAAAGTGGTCCGTTCCAGTCCAAGTGTGATAATACAGGCTGATAGGGAATTTTTTAGGTACTTGATGTTGATCATTTATCTGATTACACCATTAATATTAGAAACTAATATTAAATACTCATTCATTATGCAAAAATATCAACTAGATTTTGTCTTTTATCGTAATTCTCAAAAATAACTATAAGGTAAAACTATTAAATACAATAAACTAATAATCGCGGGTTACTTACATAAATATACTGAGAACAATAGTAGAGCTTTTTCCTGTATATTCACGTGAATAACCCGCTACTTTTAGTTTTTGTATTTTAAATTTTACTAGTACCTACTCCTTTCAACATTTACATTTAAATAGTACTGATTTCAACAGATCTTACGACCCTGATCTGCCTTGGGACAAAGAAGTGGTTGGCTATGACCCTCATCTTCGGCACTGGATGTTCAGGCAAGCGCTTCAGTCACATTTTCAAAAATCTCTGAACCAAACAGAATGGAAAGCAGTAGCTCATGTTCTGAGGAAATATTTTTCTGATCCTGATTTCGGTTTTACTGAAAAACCTCGACCAGCGAAATCTTTAAGAGATATTGCCAATCTAGATGTATGTGACTGCGTGATGCCTGAAGTCGAGGAGATTGAATTCATTGAGGAGCAACCGCTCGAGGAAGCTGAAACGGTAAGTGTTTAGAAGTAACCTTTAGTAGTAAATTGCGTTTCGTATATCCAACCTCCTATTTGGTCTTAAGTCTGTTCTTGCCAATTTATGTTTTTATTTATCAACATTCCTAAACACTTAAAGGTGGTTGAAGATCAAAAGCCTTTAGTGGATCCCGAGATGATGGCGCAGTTGCTGAAACAGCCAAAGCCACCTATAACATCACAGGTTTGTGAACTGGCAACAGAAGAGCTGCCCTGTGGACTTTTGAAGGAAGAAAGAGAAAAGATGATAAGAAGACATGAAGCAGCCATTGTTCTGCAGGCACATTGGCGAGGTACTTGGGCTCGGAGATGCTTGAAGGCTAACGTTACTTTTACTCCTGAAGTCACTAAATATGTAAGTAATGTTGTAAGCGAGCGTTACAGTGAGCATGAAGTAATTAACCCTGAAACACTAGACGTCTAGAATTAAAGTTCCTAATGCAACTCAAAACTTGATCATTCTAAGTACAGTGCAACCTGGTTAAGTGAGACACCAAGGGACCTGCAATGCGGTTTCACTTATAGAGGTATTCCACGTACCCAGTGTCTCAGATATACAGGTATAAATAAATATCTGTCTCATTTACAGAGGGTTCTATTAATAGAGGTGGACTTGGAATTACGTATGGAATTTGTGGGTAGAATAAGAATTAGTAAACAAACAATGTTATCTCAGTTACAGAGGTTTATGCATATAAAATTTACTCGCTATCTCAGTTATAGAGGTAACTATGATGATAAATCGAAAGAACAAATCCCAGATATAGAAATTTACCTCGTCCCACTAACAGAGGTAATTCAGTGCCAAAGTGTTGGGACCTTAGCACGAGTTCCAGTGATGGAGGTTTCTCACTTATCCAGGTCCCACTTAACCAAGTTTCACTGTATTTAACTTTAAGAAAGCACTCTCCTATTTGACTCCTTACACTTTTCAAGTTTTTTGTGAACTTATTATCATGTAAAATACGGAAGTTCTTGTAGGAAATTGTTGAAAACAAAAATAGGACCTTTCTTAACTTCCTTCAAGGTAAAGTCACCTTTCTGAAGTAACCTGAATGGTCACCATCATTCATTTACAATTGCAGGTGCAAGATCATGGATTCGGGACAATAGACACTTTATCTATGGTGATGAACGAATTTTTCTCAATGTTCCCTGGAGCTAAATACGCTTACTCCGTATCCTCAGGTCTGAGCGGAGTATATGGACTTCAGCAGCATACTGGAACAACTCCAGTGACGCCTAAATGCGTGTGGATTCCATACTTCCAAGGGGTCTTCTTTTGTCATACGCCAGTGAAGGTCCATTTTGAAGTTCATAGCAACTTGGCTCACAGTATAGTGGCTGTATATGATAATGATACGTCTTACCAGCTACCTCAGGCCTATAACTCTCATATCACTTTTGATATCAACCCGAATGTTCTTGGGTGAGTACTTAGTAGTTTAAATGCCACTTTTTATCATATTTTATGAGGCCTTTGTGGTTGGAGAGTGAACTTTATGCTATACAATGCACATAATTTAAAATTCCGTGTCAGCGTTTTTTAAAAACACATAAAAGCCCAATAATAATTGAACCCAAACCTTCCATAATTCAACAATATACATACAATGGTAAAACACCTAAATATCAATATGTGGCTATACAAATACCAATAATGATTCTAGCATGACTAAGTCGTTTATTCAAAAAATGAAACCAGAAACATTTTAATATTTGTATATTAAAAAAATAACCTTTATTAATTACTTACAATTAATTAACGCTATAAAAATCATTTCGTGTCTTTTCAAAATAATTTTTTTTTCTGAAGATAGGCTCTGTCTCAAAAGGCGCCTCACTTATTAAATTCACAAAGTCAAAGTCAATTCGAACTCTTGAACTGAGCTTGATCGCAATCTCGCCCGTTAATGATCGAGATTATTCTTACGACTAATGGCGGACCGCGCTCAAACTCACATCAAGAGTTCGAATTAACATCTTATAGAATAACCTAGCTGGTCTCACTACTACTATTATCATTGCAATTGAGTATCTTCAATTTCAATTTTACATTTAACATCTACTAAAGGGTCATCAGCTTCTACATTGACTTTTTCAATGTCTTTTTTGGGATCAGACAATTGTATTGGCGAATCGACCGGAGAAAAACTATTACTATAATCTGAACCCACAGTCTGTCGAAACTTTCTTAAATGATCGCTTTTACTGGCACTAGGATCTACAGAATCGTCACTATCAGATATTATCATATTAGATACATCATTTGCTCTTTCTTGTTCATCTTCTAATTCAGCTTCCATAATTATATTAGCTATCTTCATCTTGGTTAAAATTTGTCTGCGTTTCGAACTGAAGTTATCAATAGCTTTTGCATATCCTATCATAATATGTTCAGTGGATGTTAAACTATTCGATGTTTGAGTAGGTGGTGGGGAGTCAGTGATACAATTAGACCTTTTTCTGGTATTATAGAATACTTTGTTACTTGTAAAGATGTTGCTTGTCGAAGCAGTGTTTTCCTCTTCTTTGTCTGACTCTTGTTCAGTGTCTTTATAATTTGCTGCTCCTAATTCTCGAGTTGAGTCATTCAGTACACCAGTGTGGTATTTTATAAACGACATGCTTGAAGCCCACTGCCATTTGCCGTAACGGTTATAGCTTGATGTCTCAAGACCGCGTATTGACGTTGCCTGGTTAGTTTTCAAATACTTTATGTACGTGTCTCGCAGGTTTTTCCATTTCATTTTGGCAAACTCTCCTGTGAAAGAAATAGTGTTTGTTGTACAGTTCATATTAGCTATAAATTAGAAAAAATCAATACGTATTTGTCTATTACATTTTTTTTAAATTATTAAACTGTCAAACACCAAGCGGTCACCGGTGACCGCAACCTATTGTTCTATAATTGTGTCTGCAAAACCGGTACTCGACGAGTTAAGCAGACGTCGATAATAGTGCATGTAGAAGTTCACGAACTATTTTATATTTGATATTATATTTATCGCTATATAATTTATTCCCTGACTTAAAACCTGTGCTTAAAACTTATTTTTTTTTATAAATACATTTATTTGCAATGCTTATAAAATGGGTATATTTAGGTACGATAAGTCGAAGCATTTAATATATTTTGTCAAGTAAACTATACACGGATACACGATTAGATGCGTTTGACTGCACGGATCACGCAGTCTGGGCGACTGGCTGTGTCGTGGGTTCGGTCTCCACAAAACGCAGTTATTTGTATAACAAATTGTTACTCTGTGTCTGGTGTAATGTGTATGTTAATGCACCCACGACACAAGAGAATCTTTAGGATTTTTTTTTAATTTATGCAGATCCCGATTTAATTTAAATATTAATAAGTTGTAGGACCCATGATGAAGAAGTTATATCTTCAGCTAAAGTCTGGCAAACGAAAGTAGAGACTGAAAAAACCCGGCAAATTTAAAAAATATCAGTATAGCAACCCAAAAATTAGTATGTCATACCTGGAGTAACCAGACGTGAAGACGTAACAAACAAACAAATTATTATAAAGTATCAAATTAGCCGAAATGATCTACTATTGATTTCAACTTTTTAATTTTTTTAATACAACTACAATAATTGGAATGATGACAGGGTATGAAAATTAAAAATATAATTAGTCCGTAAGTTAGGTAATTAAAAAATATTAGACACGTATTTTTTTATTTTGTCGTATAATAAAACAATAATTAGATAAAACGAATCAAAGTTTAGGAGTGGGGGCTAAAACGTCATTTCTACGTATAAAATGTTCATGGAAGTGACATTACGCGACATTTCAAATCAATATACATAATATAGTGGAAAGTATTCGTTTATGAAATAAAATAAAAAATACGTGTCTAATGATTTAAAATAATCTACCAGACGGACATTAAAATAAAAATTAGGCACCTATTGTTTTAAAATAAAATCTTGAATGAGCAAAGGCCAAAGTGAACGCGACGCGTGACGTTATTCGCGCGCGTTGTTGCCAGCTTAATAACATCTGTCCGTGCCGCTCGCGGGCGCGTAACGCGTCGCTGCCACTTCGCTATCGCGGCGCGGCTCATACCGCAAAATTATCGCCACGCGGGCCGCGCGCCGGTACAAACAAGTTATTCGCGTGGTGATTATTGGTTATAATATCATTTCATTTACTATTATTGAACATAATATGTATTATTAAACAATTTATTCACTTAATACTTAATAGGTATTATACTTATTGTTAAGTATAGAATTTAGAAACGAGGTAGTTCACATCGTACAATTACTGTTTTAAATTAGTTATTGATATTACGGCATTGTTTTAAGTTTTAAATTGCAACAATGTAACATAAATATATGATAAAACAACACAAAAAAGATAAACTTACCGGACATGTCAACTTTTCCGCCAATTTCCTCCCATATTTTATTCTTAAGGTGCACATTCTTGTAATCTCTATGACTTGCGTCGTATAGTACTGGTTTGCTTTTGACCAGTTTAATAAAAATTGATGTGCCGGGTTGAAACATAGTATACGTGTGACTGTTATGGATGCTACGTCGCAACTGAGCGAGATCGATGCGACGCGGTAGAGGCGAGGAGAGGGGGAGTAACGCTCGTCCCGCGTCGCCCGCCGAAGAGTGACGAATACCGTTTCGCCAAGCGAGCGAAAATAATACACAGAGCGTATAATATCGCCGCAAATATTCGTTAACAAGAGTTCTTGTTTCAAATCTACTTGTATTAGTTTGTAGTTGTATTGTTGTATGGTCTTTTTATTGGTCAATGGTATATTATTGGTATAAATAGATTAGTTTCTCGTTAAACAGTTACGTAAGTAAGCCGAAAACTATAAAAATTAATTTAGTATGACTCACAAAAGTTTTAATATAAACAGCTCAATGGTATGTCAACTTTAGTGTTAATAGGTCGGTAAACTGTGTAAGCACTACCTTTTTACTCTAATGCTTAAATAATAAGTGTGGGAGAGCCATGCTTCGGTACGAATGGGCCGGCTCGACCGGAGTGATACCACGGCATCACAGAAAACCGACGTGAAGCAACGCTTGCATTGTGTTTCGTCGTGTGAGACTTCACTCACACTGTGAGTGAGGTTACCGGAGGCCCAATTACCCTCCCCTGCCCCAATCTCCCCAATTCCTGAATCTCCAACGATCCTCAAACTCCTAATCCCCAAAAGGCCGGTAACGCACTTGTAACGCCTCTGGTGTTCCAGGTGTCCATGGGCGACGCCGATTGCTTACCATCAGGTGATCCATCTGCTCGTTTACCAACTTATGCCATAAAAAATATATAATATATTTTTTCCAATTATTTATTAAAATAAAATAATTATCTTTCTTCAACCATTTTCCTATTCACAAGTTTGAAATAATACCGCTATATAATAATATTATAAGACAAGGAACAGAATTATCTCCTTTAAAATGCCCTTTTTCAGTTTTAAGAAGATTTTTAGTAATAGCACAGTCTGCAATTGTGTGTATGGCAGTAGAATCAACCTTTACATGGCTTTATGTAATAAAAACTCACTCTACTTCCAGCTATACAGTCGTAGGCCACGGCACACTGACCCACCCTACTGGAATAAACATGGACGCCCATTGGCAACTCACAGTCATGTCCTGCCTTGATGGTGCATTCCATGTGTGTGACAATGAAGACCCCTGCAAAGAACTATTCATTCCTCAAACACAGAAGATACATGTTGATGAAATCTTCTTCCCGAATAGAAGGAATATATTGGGAGGTATTCATCTCTCTGTGACGAAACATGAGTCTGTTAGCTTCAGAGCGGCCGCGTCTTCACCTGAGGTGAGTTCATTTAAGATTACATGTTTAGTTGACACTATCTTATTGATTTATACTTAATACAGAAATCTTAGAGTCTGTTTGAATATGGTCGCTTATCGATAGTCGATTTATTGCGAGAGGCTATGAAACATCACGATATGATATATGATAAATGAATAGAAGCTGAGCGAGCAGCGCGAGAGTAAAACTTAATTTTACTATTTGCCTCCTGAGTTTATTAACTGAATCAGCACAAATTACCTACATATGTACATATAATTTTAACAATTTAAGTAGGTAGTTATGATTGATAGTAGTACCCATAATATGATAGGTTACCAAATATATTAGGTTATTCCAAAGAATATCATTTATAGTCAGGGCTTGTCACACGCTTAATGCAGTTTGTAGGGAGATTGACATAGATCTATTTAACATCAGTGGGACGAAATTAAAGAGGGTGATGTGTAACCACTTTTTCACACATCGTAAGTAGTCGGTTGGATCGGTTCTGATGTGCCTGTGGGTCCTTAGTTAGCAGCATATAAAAAAAAAAAAAACTTTTCGTTAATGCTTCTTTTGTTTGTTTTTTTTTTATCTTGGTTCATATTGTCATAGATGTAGTGGTAACCGCTTTTTATTATTATTTTTCTTTCTTTGTATTGCTTGCTGACATATTGAGTGGAAAAAATGTGAGTGGCTGAAGGTTTTAATTTAATAACTACTGTCGGCAAGTCACGATATTTTTTTTAAATACTTAACAAATATATGCGAAAACTTGTAATTGGCCATAATTTAGTCATAGTTATATATAATTGTCAATTCTAGCTGTAAGTTTTCTAAATGTAAAAAATAAAAAATAAAATAAAAATAAAATATTAATGAAACAAAAGACACACATGGGATTAAAATGTATAAAAACTTGTTGTTAGTTCGTCTCATACGCAATGTTGTTTAACGTCTAGCGTGTACTGCTTAGCAGCAGTACACGTCTGCAGTAGCCTGCATGTTGACAGTAAACTGCCATCTATTGGTATACTTAGCGAACTAACTAATAGAAGTCAAGCTTAGCAGTTTCAACGAATATTGAATTCATTAATAGTTGTGGTGGCTCGGAGGTCTAAGACGCCCGCTTCTCATGCATGAAGGTTTGAAACCTACCAACAGCAAGTACCAATGTGACTTTTCCGAGTTATATGTACTATCTAAGATTATTTAGACATCACTGACAAACGGTGAAGGAAAACATCGTGAGGAAACGTAGATTTCAATATTTAAAATTATAGGTACATTGAGCAAGCTTGGTGCATAATGTTCAAACCTTCTCCGTGTGAGAAGAAGCCTTTGGTCATAAATATATGTATAAAAATGAATCCCGTTTCCCGTTGTCACGCCATAACTTGAGAACAGCTAGACCGATTTGGCTTATATTTTTTTTTGTTGTGTTTGTTATTGGAGAAGGTTCTTATGACAGAAAAAAGTCGTGAATATCCTACGGGAATGGGAGAAACAGGTTTGTGCGTACGAACTCGCGGGCAGAAGTTAATAAATAATAAATATAGTAAAATGTGTAGGTATCGCTTCTTCCGTTGGGGACGAAAGATCCTTTGGCATGAATGAGCCGGTTCGATTGGTGAAATATATCTCTAATACACACTTGTAAAGGCATATTGTTTTTATTATCTAAGTGAGTTTAGTATGTAATGTTTATGTGTTAATTTGTAGGTAGAAATGGTGGCAATTTTGCGCCATATAACATCCAACGGTGAGTCTGTAGAGTTGGCCAAGTGCAAGGGCAAAGGAGAAATCTACTGGCCCTTCATCAGACTGGATCCACAGACACAAAAAAAAACATCTTCTGCGTACATGGTACTTATTTCATTTATTATTTCTATTCAGTGCATTTAGCCAAACGCCACTTTAGCGCTTGTCTACAGAGAGAGTAGAATACTGAATGTATGGAGATGACACTGACAAGTGTCAAAATTTAAGTCAATTCCATATAATTTGGTTTTCTATTCTACATGTAGACAAGCGCTAAATGGCATTTGGCTACAGCTGGAGGATTGTAAGAATTTGCCGCTAACGTATAAATAGGCCTCAAGAACCTCAGAACTAACGTCTATGAAATAAACAATTGATACACTAACATATTATGTGTACTACCTACCTATTAAGAAAAAGGTAATGTTCAAAATGACTGGCTCGTTGGCCAAATGGTCGCAAATGTGACTACTAGGCAAGGTGTGTCGGGTTTGATTTCCGGTTCGGACAAAGTATGACTGAGTTTTTAAAAATTCTCAGAATGAAAGTTAGGCGCGGTCAGCGATTTTGAGTTACATTACTGGGTATTTAATAAAAATCTCAGTAGTAACACGTAGTCTGAAATTGTGCTCGGTATATGCCAATAAGCTCACCCCCTATTACATGGGGCTCATAACATAAATAGTGAAAAGTGGGTGTTACATTGTAACTACGTGGCATTAAGTACCTTATTGTGCACCTCGACCTAAAAAAACAAAAACTCCTTCGGGGATAAAATGGCATGATCTTATGCTATATGTAATCAGTGCCTTTAGCCAAACGCCACTTTAGCGCTTGTCTACAGAGAGAGTAGAATACTAAAAACTGCGACTTCATGGAATATTGATAGGCAGAATATGTGTTTCTTAATTCTTATCAAAGGTACAGCTACAACTTTAGATAACTAACTATAGCAAACGTCATTAGTATAGAATCGATTCAGTACCTAAGTTAAGTATGTTTATTGCGAATTTTATTAATTTGCGTGGTTTATAAAAATAACAATTCGCTTCCAAGGAGGATTTAGCAATAAAAACTATCCTATGTCTATATCCCAGATCTCAAATTACTATCATTGCTTGTACAGAACAAATGTATTTAGTATTTTAGCAAAATTTGATCAAATATTCTTTTTATATATTTTGAAATTTGACAGAGTACAAGAGAATTAAACGTAACAAGTGCCCGATCCATGTTTAAAGGCGGGAAAGCTCACAAATCCACCGCGAACAAATCCTCCAGGTCTTTGCCAAAGGTATTTTTTATTTTATTTTTCTTCGTTTAAGATATTATTTCCTTTGTGCCTTATTTTAAACAAATACAGTATGTAAATTTTAATTATATTTTACAGATCAAACCTGTTCATGAACCAAAGTTTTATTCAATCGAGTAAGTCTACTTATATTCTCAATTTGTATTAATAACTAGCAAAATCAGTGAACTCCATTTCGCCACCAGATGGCTTCGTTTTATGTAACACTAGCAACCCGCCCCGGGTGCAATATGCATGTATTATACATACAAACCTTTCTTAAGAATCACTCTATCTATTAAAAAAACCGCATCAAAATCCGTTGCGTCGTTTTTAAGATCTAGGCATACATACGGACATACAGCGAAAGCGACTTTGTTTTATACTATGTATTGATTTCGTTTGGTGATTAAAAGTAATTTTTCTTTGCTATAAACCTCACGGAGCCGTAAAGGTCTCGCCTTTCCAACGAATGCAAAATCGTGGAAATCGGTTCGTGAGTTCTGGAGTTATAGCGTCAGGAAGGAAAACCCGACTTATTTTATATAGTAGATATGTAGTATACCATTACATTACATTGTTTTGTGATAATGTTTGATCCTCTTTTAGGGTGACATGCCCCTCGGGATGGGCACTATCACTAGCCCAGTGGAAACGAGTGGATGAAGTTATTAACTCTATGGAATTTAATAAAGTTGAACACCTGCAGATACAAAAGAAAGTTGTTAAGGAAAAGGAGAAGGTAATAATTCTACTATATCAAGTGTGGGAGAGCCATGCTTCGGCACGAATGGGCCGGCTCGATCGAAGTACCACGGCCGAGCAGAACACCGACGTGAAACAACTCTTGCGTTATATTTCGTCGTGGGAGTGAGGTAACCGGAGGCCCCAATACCCTCTTCCCCAATCTCCTAATCTTCCTAACCCTTGAATTCATAACAATCGTCAAATTCCTAATTCGGAAAAGGCCGGTAACGCCTTTGATTTTCCAGGTGTCCATAGGCGACGCCTATTGCTTACCATCAGGATGAAAAAAAATCATGTTCAGCAGGTGATTTGCTAGTTTCAGCATACTCGCCAGAAAGTTTTGGCACCTTTGGTGGCTGGTCGCACTTTTATCCACATTCTTAAGTGAAACAGGACACAATTTTTAACCGACATCAAGAAAAGAAGGTTCTTAATTGACCTGTAGTATAATATAATTACCGCTGATCTCGTGACCATAAAGTCGTCAGTATTATCTCTTTTTTTTATGGATAAATGTTAAGTTTAATTAAGTTTGTGTATGCTATCTTTTTCAATTTGTTTTGTCTTGTTTAAATTAGTAATTAGGTACATAGATTTAGTTTTAGACCTAAGCTATCGCAATGGAGAAAACTGTAATGATAGTTTTAGGTAAGGTTTTAAATAAATAAATAAATTATATAAATATAAATGTACGTGGGTATGTTTGTGCTTAATTATCTCGCTATTGAGCGAACCGATTTGCGATTTTCAAAAAAGTGTTTATTAAACTTATTAGAAAGCTTTAGTAAATTAATTAATCGACTTCAAAAAATAGGCGGTTGAAGTCGGTTTTTTTTAAACGTAGTTTATAAAATCATTATATACGTAATTTTTATTTTCAGCCTCCAAAAACAGCGTCAGCAAAGGATAAGGAAAAGGTGTCTATGCCCGTAAACTTCGCAGTGCATCAGCCTCTACCTGGAGATGCCTGTGTTGAGTTGGAGTGCGCTCTAGCAGTTGGGGGAGGGGTCGTCGCTAAGAGGGATGATGAAAGGGACCAGGAATTTGCTAATGCAAGGAAATCATGGGATGCCACTGAACATGGGAGGAATGCAAGAGGGGCACAGATTAGGTTAGTGGGACTAGGGAAAGACTGAGGATAAAAAATAATTTTGACACAATATTTTTCAGTTATGAAAAACCCGTAAATGTGTACCGAACATTGGTAAGATGCTATATAGAATTATGAGTATAGATAATCTAGTTATTTTCGTTAAGGTGGGTGACTAAGTCTAAGCATCTATGCTTTTATCTAATAAGGTTATTGATAAAGAGAAACTATTCTCAAAAATAAATCTATAGTAGTAAAAATTAATCCCTAAAAAATGTATGTACCGGGTACGCACTTGACCTCAGAACGACAGTTCTAAATTGGATATTTTTTTTTTTTAAACCTTGCCCCTCTCTAGGATTTTCTCCTGTGTCGTGGGTGCGTTTACAAACATACAATATCACATACACATGACACCCAGACCCGGAACAACAATCTGTGGATCACACAAAGAGTTGTTCCGTGCGGGAATCGAACCCGCGACACGTTGCGCGGCAGCCAGTTGCCCAGCCACCGCGCCAACCGTGCAGTAAAAATTATTTCTTATGTGTTCGTTATTGTTAGGATAAGGGCTATATAGAAAAAAGCAACAGAATGCGCGTCACGGACAGCAGCTAGGATTGTATAAAAGATGGACTTATGATCAGTGAGATGGTAACGATTACAATTATTTCAGAAAAGAATTTCGTGAAGAATTTTTGGACATGCCACCGCCACCGCCACCGCCACCGGAGGTTTCAGAAAGCACGAAAAGCGGTAGCACTTTTAGAAGTTACAATATGGATACGGACAGGAGTGAGGCTGGGTCTAAGGTAATTTTTTTAAACGACTTAATAAAATGGAGGTTGTCAATTCCCGTATGTATGTAATATTTTCAGAACTGTCTAGTTTTCATATGTTAGTATATATTTTTATTCTTCTCTTCTTATAATATCTTCTGATTCACTTCGTTGCGGGAACCAAGACAGTTACTCATGTCCCTGGGATGCGCCGAACTTCAGTGTTATCTATTGTAGATCCTGGTTTACAGGAGTTGCAGCGGTTTTGAGAGGTTGTGGCGGGCCTTGTCCTAATAAAAAAAAAAATGTTAGTCTATATCAGTTTCTGAATAAATGTGCTAAATTTTCTAAGTGTGCATGTGGGGATGTATGTTTTTATCTTTGTTTCCTCTTATCTCCAGAATTACAAGACCAATTTAAGTAAATAATATTTTTTTCGTTGGCATAGGTATTGTATATTCAACTTAGAATACTGCAAGTATAATCAAAATCATTTCAATAGTTTTTGAGATAGGAAATTCTAACCAACTTTTAGATTCATTCTTATTTTAAGTTCTGAAAGAGGTTTGTACAACGTCAGAGATAGTGTGCATTGCGCATGAATGTTAGTTTAACGATTGCGATGTTTATCGGTGACGCTTTTTTTCTTTTATGCCCGATATGTGGTATAGCATGCTGTATCATCATCATCATCATCAATAGCCTATAAGTGCCCACTGTTGAGCAAATTCACCGCGCTTGCTCATTGCGGGTTGGCGATTTCAAACTTGTAATTATAAATTATCAGCTCAAGTTTTCCTTTACCATTTGTCAGTGGTGTCTAAATAATCTTAGAAAGTACATATAATTCGGAAAATGTCACATTGGTACAAGTACCAATATGAGGAGTGGTCGTCTTAACCTCTAGGCCATCACGACCGCATGCTGCATGGATGACTCTGATCATAAATAGTGTAATCAAGGTTAAATAAGAAAAAGGTACAAGGCTACTCAACTCCCTTTAACCTAAAATCTCTTGAGAAGAAGTTTTACAAAATAATTACCTTCTATCAGCCTTATTACCTTATTACCTTCTATCATCAAATATTTACACAGGTTATACCTTTAACAGACACCAGTCTCTTAATTGTAACATATTATATAATTTGTATCCGTAGAGTATTTTTGAGAAAATAAAGATTTTTTTATTATCAGCGGTTTCGTCGGCGTTCCTGTAGAATAAAAGCGGTAGCCTTTGTGTTATTTCATATCACAATCTACCCCTGTTCGACATTTCATTCCGATTCCTTCAGCCGTTTTAACATGAAGGAGTAACAGACATACAATCTTTCCCATTTATAATATAACTAGCTACTTCCGCGCGGTTTCACTCGCTCTGCTCGGCGCCTATTAATCGTAGTGTAATATTTCATATAAGCCTGTAGCCTTCCTCGATAAATGGGCTATCCAACACAGTAAGAATTTTTCAAATCGGACCAGTAGTTTCGGAGATTAGCGCGTTCAAACAAAAAAACAAACTTCAGCTTTATAATATTAGTATAGACAATATTAGCACTATACTAGTGCCAAAAATTATAATACGGCAGTTTCTTAAATTTTATTTTAATATCCGTCTGGTAGATTATTTTGAAACTTTTATATTTTTTCTTTTCTCACAAAATTAAATGCTTTCGTCGATATATTGAATTCAAATGGCGTGTGACGTCATAGCGTGCTACAAATGTAGCGAGTTGTAACGTAACGACCTCCCACTCCTAAACTTAACTCCATTTTATCTAAGTATTCTAACTTTATACGAGAAAATAAAAAAATACGTGTCTAATATTTTTTCATAATCTAACTGACGGACTAATGAGATTTTTAATTTTCTTACCCTGACAACTACCCTATTCTTGCAGGATGGATACGAGTGTTTGGAAGAAGAAGAATTAAAGGATTTCAAAGGTAAGATGGCAATTACTAAGTAAGGTCTTAAATTATTTTTAGTAACATAAACAATGTACGATTTTAAAAAGCACTGCTAATATAATACTGGCAAATACACCATTAGATACGATTTCTTAATGTTTCTGTTTATACTGACATAATTTTTTTATAACATATTTTTTTAAAACAGACGGTACTCATGGACATGAACCTACGCCAGCGACCGAAAGTGGAAGTAAGTTGTCACATCCACAGACTGTTTCTAATAAACAAGTTGCAGTGTTAACTAATATAACATTTTAAGTTTTACGCTTGTTATATAATTAATTTTATTTATGCCACTGTACAATGTAACACCCACTTTTCACTATTTATGTTATGAGTCCCATGTAATAGGGGGTGAGCCTATTGCCATATACCGGGCACATTTCCAGACTCCGTGCTACTACTGAGAATTTTTTTAAAACCCAGTAATACTTTGCCCGTCTCGGGAATCGAGCCCGAGACCCCTTGTCCGACAGTCACACTTGCTTGCGACCAATGGGGTCATTTTATTTTTAAATTGCATAATACACACATTTATTATATGCTTTATGTAATCCCGGAATTTCTGGGTTGGACACAGCCTGTGGGGATTTTCTCAGGTTTAAAAGACCCCGAGACTTCCTTCTCGGTAATCGTTTTTTTCATTACTCGACGAATGGAGAGAGAGGCAGTATTATTTAGCCATTTATTTAGTACATCATAATTGGTTAAATTGGTTTCAAATTAGCTTAATAAATAATAACTAGCTTAAGGCAGATATCTTAGTTTAAAGTTATGTTTTAATCATACTTTTATTTAGTTTGAATATATAACATAACACAACATAACATCACGCCTTTTATCCTCGAAGAAGTAGGCAGAGGTGCACATTATACCACTCTACAATGTACCACCCACTTTTCACTATTTATGTTCTGAGTCCCATGTAATAGGGGGTGAGTCTATTGCCATATATCCGGCACAATTCCAGACTCCGTGCTACTACTGAGAATTTTTTTAAAACCCAGAAATACTTTGCCCGACCCGGAAATCGAACCCGAGACCCCTTGCCCGGTAGTCGCACTTAAGACCACTCGGCCAACGAGGCAATCAAATATTTGTATATATATTGGTTTTATATTTTAAGTGTTGGAGATGTCTGTCGAGATAGAAGAAGAGGCTGTGTACCTGACGATGCCAGAGCTGTTGCGAGACAAATTCAAACCACTTCATTTTGTACCATTCTGCATGAAAGAAAAACTAGCATATGAAGCGTTAGAACTATTTATAACTTTATTACTTTAGAACTAGAATTTAGTATGCAGTGACTGATTTCATTGTTCTTTTGGATTCCTAACGAGTTTCGCTGTCATTTTTGTAGTATAGTACCCAGTTGTGTCCAAAATGATGGCCGTCAATTTTCCAAATGCCAGATGACTCCTCGGAAGATTAATTATAATTTTTTTACGGCTTTTACATTCGAAATTATCTGTTGATTGAAAAATCAGCTCTAATAGGTCGGTTTAAAAGGTTTAAATTCTTTTGCATGCATGAAATATTGCTTATTTATTAATTTACAACATCAATGACAACACATATATAAAATTAAAGTACAAAGGTACCACCTATTCCTATTGGAATTTCTTCCTGTGGACCTGGGGCAGGAAGAGTAATAATGATATTATAATGACAGTGTGTAAAAACAGTGTTATAAATAGAAAACAGATAAAAAATAACCAGATACATATAAAATATAAACTATACAACTAAATGAAAAAAATTACATATCAGGAGGAAAGGAATTCTCTCACTCGTCTTTTAAAGATAGCGATAGACTCAGCGTCCCGAATCTTAGACGGGAGCGTATTCCACAGTCTCACTGTATGCAGTATAATGCCAATGGCAACTAATAATGATAATATTATCTTCTACAGTGTCCTAGTAACTTCAGATATGGCAAAAGCAGCTGCAAAAGATAGACAAGCGCGCACGGAGGCTGCCATGGAACGGATGAAAGAGCTACAACTTTTCAATGAAGTACATGTACTGGGTAGACAGAGGGATCGCTGTCAAGCGCTGGAAAAACTGTTTGTGGGTAAGAAAAATATCAATGTCATTACATTATTATCTTCTTTATTAATTTTTATACTTGATTTATACATTTTTAATTATTTGATTATAAAAATAAAACATTTATTATTACGTTTTCGGCTTAATCATGTAATTGTATGAGGAGAAATTCGGCTAGTTTCACGCCATGCTAGAGGCTCATATTCATGAGCAGCATTTTGCAACCTGCGACGCGGTGACTGTCACGCTGCTCGACTCGCACCGGTGCGGGCCCAACGCGCCCTCTGCTGCGATTCACGCACACTTTCATCTATCCGTAGTATCGGCGTGGACAACATTATGAGGATTTGCTTTGCTACATTATGATTTGATGATTTTCTTATCAATAAAATATTAAGGAATAATACTTTATAACATAAGATCACGCCGTTTATCCCCGAAGAGGTAGGCAGAGGTGCACATTATGCCACTGTACAGCTACTAATGAGATTTTTTTTAAACAGTTCTATTTTATTTTGAGATTTTGTATTGAATTTGAGAATGAATTAGGACTACTTAAAAAAAGTAACTTCTTTTGATTATTGGTTTATCTGGATCTATAAAGAAAGAATATTATTCAAAATCCAACATGAATAATTAATATAATCCTCTCCACATTTTTTCATTTTAGATGCCACCATGTGTCCTGAGTTATTAGAAGTGATGGAGCAAAGAGAAGAGGCTATGAAAGAAGAGGTTCTTGCTAGAACTGCATCTGCCAACAAGAAGAAGATGGAAGCGAAGAAGATGGAAATAAAGAAGACAGAAGTTAAAAAGACAGAAGGAAAGAGAAAGCAATGAAAAGATTATTTAATTTTATATTAACTTAATTATTTATATTTGAAATACTTACATAATTATTTAACGAGGTAACTCGACTGATTTCAAGCCACGCTAGGGGCTCATATTCATGAGTGACATACACAACGTCTAGCCAATTGGCTACTCGAAGAAGGTTATTGTAAGAGAAGTTTTATTTAAAGTATATTTAGTTTTATTTTAAGATTGTTTGTGAGCTGTTAGTCGTAGCAGGTTGTTTAGTTTGGTGAAATATAACTAGAAACCAAGTCAAGTTATTTTATTTTTACTGATACACATATACACAAATACAGACCTTTATTAAATGTTTATTAACTCGTGGAGTACCGTCATTATAGACACAATTAAAGAACAATAGGTTGCGGTTACCGGTTAAAGGGTTACTACTGTCCGTCAATTTGCTGGTTAGTATGTGAGTAAATGACGACCTGATTAAGGCTTTGACTGCCAACAAAAAACTGTTGAAGGCAAATCCTCCGCTAACGTCCGTCACCGGTGACCCCAATGGCGTTTAATGTGTTAAGGTCGCAGGGAGCCGCCGGATGCAGGTAGCTTCCAACCGGCCTAGCTGGAATTTATTGGGGGAGGCCTATGTTTAGCAGTGGACGTCCTATGGCTAATACGATGATACATACATATATACATAACTTCACGCCTGTCTCCCATGGGGGTAAGCAGAGACTAAGGAACGCCAATTACTACGATTCTTACAGACCTCTTTCGCTTCATTAACAGTCATCAATCTTTTCATGCATGCTCGTCGGTTAAGGGTACTTTTAATTTGGCCCTTCTTTAATATATCGCCAATCTGGTCACTATATGTCCGTCTAGGGCGCCCTCTACCGACGGCCCCATTCATATCCGCTCTGTATACTTCTTTTGTTACTCTACTTTCATCCATCCTTTCTACATTTTTCCAGCAAAGCTCGACTTGCTGTAATGCAGTGTGTATTGACACCAACGCTTATGTATGGTAGTGAATCATGGGTGTGGCAGAAGAAGCATGAAAGCAGGATTAATGCGGTGGAAATGAGAGCCCTAAGAAGTATGTGTGGACTAAAATTGAGTGATCGAGTGAAAAATAGTGTTATTATAGAAAGGTGTGGATTGAAAGATGATGTAGTGACAAGGATTGAAAAGGGAATGATACGCTGGTTTGGACATGTAATACGATGATGATGTGTGAAATTGATGTTCAATTTATATTTTGACGCTCAAGATTAGGTTAGTGGCTAGGCAAAATGATTTTTTAATACGTTGATATATCGTACCGAAAATACTTAAAATTTATTCTTACAAAACTAGTCTCTAAACATCGGAAATAAGGTCTATGATGGAGTTAGTGGAGAGCGGTTACTGGAGACCGCTTGAGGATTCAGCAGTTAAGAGATAAAAGTCATCGAATGATTCCTCCCGCCCTAGGTTAACGAGTGCTTGCGCTGTACAAAATGTCGCAAGCACATAGCAACTCTTTATGAGACCAACAAATGTTTGTTCCTGGACTAGGTTTTACCCACAATACAGAACAAAGTACATACTAATATAAGACGACGAAGGCGACGTTATAAAGAAATCAGTCGCCCTACAAGAATCACATAATTCTCAAATAATATCCTTCCCCCGTCTCCTCAATTGAAAAGTATTTTAAACCGATTTAATATAGGAAGGGTACATATTCGTGTATCAACAAAAACGAAGCGACATGCCGAACGACTCCATATTGAATTTAAAAGAAGGTAATATATTCAAAGTTTGTAGGACACAGTTAGAAGGTAATATTGAACTTTTAATATTGGATAGCATGCTTAGGAGTTTGTGTTGAAACTGCATTCGAATGAAGAAGTATTGGAGATCATTCGAATCGCTTGCTATCTTAGTAGTAAATAGGAAGGAAGTTCATTGAAACCACAACATGGTTTTCAACACATTTTAAAATGTACTTGCAATGCGTTGTAAACGTACTGAGGCTTTAATGAAATTGACACCAATTAAATTGTTTTTATAATAACTATCGTGAGACATACTATATTAACTAAAAGTCGCAGGTTACTCAAAAACCACTAAACTGCGCGACATCGCCGCGATCGTGCACGCTGCTCATGAAGTAGAGCCCCTCTGTGGCTCGAAACTAGTAGAGCTTTTATCAATATATTCACGTGAGAACCCCTTGATTTTTAGTTAATCACTTAAATTATTATAACAATAAGCAATTACTTTGACATTGATAATAACTATGCAAAGAAAATACCAACAAATCCTTAAAAGTAATTTTCGACCATGACAAATGTTCACACGGCCACACATCAATCTATACAAATCCAGTTTATCCTGGTATCGCGTCGCATCATCTTTCCGCACATTTAACGTTCAGTTAATACTGGTTACGTAAAGCTCGATGTGTAGCCGTGTATACCTCCGATTGCTGGCGCAGTGGTTGGGATACTGGTTGCCATGCAACGTGTAGTGGTTTGGATTCCCGCACGAAGCAACTCTGTGTTCCGGGTTTGATTGTTGTTCCGGGTGTGGGTGTCATGTGTATGTGAACTTGTAAGTTTGTAAACGCACACACGACACAGGAGAAAATCTTAGTATGGGTTAATGTTTAAAAAAGCCATCGCTTTTAGAGGCATTTAAAAAATTAACTGTTATAACAAGAGTATGAAAAGTGCACAACTAAGTTACATGACAAGTTAACAAGACAAGGCGGGACGTTATAACACTGAACAGCTTTCAGTAAGACCAAGTAAAACGCTGTTATACTCAAGCGTTAAGTTAAGTGTCAGTTCATGGCAAAAAACTGACGGATAAAATATTAAGTATAGAAAACTACATCTGTCTTCGGGTTTCGTCTGTAAATTTTCTTTTGTCGTGGTGTAACAAGCAGATGAATTGCTAATAAATTATCAGCCTCACCAAAAGATGTAATAGAGGTATCCGAAGTATATGACAATTCACTGATTAGAAACAGGTACATAAAAAAAATTAATTAGAAAAATTTTTATGTTTTATCTTTTATTTATTTCTATCATAATTGCTTGCCACCAGACGAGATAGTGGCATACTAACTACATAAAATAAAAAAATATACGCTTTTTATTCCCGAAGGGGTACGCAGAGGCGCACATTATGCCACTGTACAATATAACACCCATTTTTCACTATTTATGTTATGAGTCCCATGTAATAGGAGTAAGCCTATTGCTATATGCCGGACACAATTCTAGACTCCGTGCTACAATTGAGAATTTTTAAAAAACCCAGTAATACTTTGCCCGACCTGGGAATCGAACCCGAGACCCCTTGCCCGGTAGACCAATGAGGCAGTCAAATAAAAAGAAAACAATAAAACATTATACCTGAAAGTGTTGTAGCGAACTTATTACTAAATATTAAGAAATAATTCAAGGGGTTACTTATTATGTCAAAATAAAAACCACGAGTCATAAACCAATTAAAATTTCCATCTAACAAAACTCACCAAGGTAAACACCCATACATTGCCTTTCCACGGCTTGTCATCATCCCAATCCCCAAATAGCTACAAAGACATTAGGTCGACCTAAAATTTTTACAGTGAACTGTAAAAAGTACAGACCATCTGAAGGCACCATTAGGAAAATTATTGGCTCCATTAAATATCACTTAGGTGACAATTTCGTAGAAGCAGTTACATTGAGTTTTATATTAAAAAAGAAAAGAAAATGTCATGTCACTTGGAGCTAAGTGGAAAGCGATTGTGGGACAAATTGGTGGTGACAGACAGGATTCTGTTAGAAGGAAAACGTTGAAAGTGTTAGATGTTATTGCACCCCTATATCTATAAGAACATGACTGTCTTTGTGTAAAGAGTTTGATATTTGTTTGGAATTCAATCTTATCATATATCTTATAATTGTATCACTGCCCACTGCTGAGCAAAGCCTCTTCTCACACGAAGAAGGTTTGAGCAATAATTACCCCGATTGCTTATAATTAGGATTTATAAGCCCAGGTTTCCTCACGATGTTTTTCTTCACCGTTTCTTATAATTATATACTATTATATAAAGCTAAAGAGTTTGTCTACTTGTTTAACTGCGTTAATCTCCGAAATTACTGGTTCTATTTGAAAAATTCATCTTCCCCAGTCTCCCGAATCCCTGAATTCTCCACAATCCTCAAATTCTCATATCCAAAAGGCCGGTAACGTCCATGGGTGATGGTGATTGCTTACCATCAGGTGATCCGTCTGCTATCGTTCACACTTATGCCATAAAAATCATTATATGTTGGATTGTCAATTTCTTGAGGAAGGTTTTACGCTATAAAACAGCACGCTATGAGAAATCGGAGCTGAGTAGACCTGGAGAAACCGCACCGGAGTCGCTATTATTGAATAAAGCTTAATAAAATTGTAATGTTCAGTGTGACTTAAAAGTGAATGTCTCTTTTTTGTTAGCTATCAGTATTAATTTTTTATAATTTCTTATAATGTTACCAGTTTGCTTCCTTGATTCAAAAGTTGGCATTAGTTGTATGTAAATTGATAATAGCAGTCATTTGTTTTATAGTACAATAGGATTCAGATGGTATTAACACACCATTTTCCTTTTTTCTATTAATAAGTTTAACATTTATAACATTTATGTTATTTTAAACTATATTTGCAATGTATCAACCTTCCATTTACTAGGTGCACCAAACCAATCAATACACTACAACAAAAACATACAAAAAAAATGCATCAAATCCCAATAGTTCATTCACACAGTTGGTCAGTAGTCCATGGATTTCATCTGGAGTCCCTGCAAACTAATAAATTCTAGTGATCTACGCGGTCGCAGCGCACTATATGAGAGCCGACTGCAATACCAGATATTGGTTCCCTATCTCTGGCAGAGAAAAAATACAGACGCGACGTTGAAATTGGGTCCAGTTTTCTGCCTAATAATTGTACATACATAACCTCACGCCTGTCTCCCATGGCGGAAAGCAGACACTATG